GAGACTGGCCAGGGCACCTATTCCCCTGGAACTGTTTTGGGCTAGCGCTTTGGTAGTCCTGGTTACTGGGGGAATGAATGTCTGCTTTTTGTAATGGTTCCAGATTGGCTGAGAGAAGGAATTAGCGGAGGTAACCAGTCAGTATGGACATTCGTTCTTTATTTTTTAATTGCATGGAAATTAAGGTTATTTGTGATAGCCAATCACAAGGAGGTATTCTCAGACTTTTTGGGTGAGTCCTACCCATAGAATGGACATAAGTACCATTGGTAGCAGTGACAGGGTAGATCTGAGGAAGCCGATTGGATCATCCAAACATGTTATTCTGAGTGATGTCATTATGCTGCATGTGACGTCATTGCCCTGTCTCCCAGAACCAGAGTAGTGAGTGAGGTTCAAAGCTGGCAATTGAACCGAATAGTACTTGGAGCACTCCATCTGTGGGGGACTTAATTTCCAGAGAGGGTTATGTTAAACCTCTCCCTGTTTTAATTAATAAAGATCATTGAAAGAACGCTTGGATACCTATCCAAGTGATTTGTTTGGAGCATCTATAACCTGAGCAGTCTTCACCTGCTCCCTATTATATTTATGTATAGTAATGTATAAGTTACGTATAAGTTATTATTGGTATTTACAGTATTACACTATATTGTTCCCTTCTTTTCCTTACATATATCTTATGAATGCAACAAGGGTTTTAAGTAAATTCTAAGCACTATGAAGTTATCTTTGCACTATAGGTTTGATACACTTTTGTATTAAGTGTGTTTACACTTAAAACTGAAAATTGTTCAGTATTAAAATGACTGTTTAGTAGATAAGCGGATGTGCTGGATTTTCATTTTTACTGTACTTATTGGCCCCCAGCAGCACCCTAATTTAGCATGTGTAGGTGAGTGCAGCCAAACCCTTATTTTCTCATACACTTAGCACTTTATCATATATTTGTATGCACTTTACAAGGAAATGTGTGTACACTAATGTTTTGCACTTTTGTTTGATGCACTTTATTGTAACAATACCCCTTTGCACTACCCCTTTTTCACCTTAAAGGCATAGTGCACTTTTATATGAGAGTGGGAATACTCATGAAAAAGATTTAAAGTTACAGCGCACCTTAATTTTTGTTTTATGTTATTGTAGTGTATTCATGAGCTATTGCAGTTTGGCAGGTGCTGCTATATTACTTAAATTTGAATTAAAAAAATAAGCGCCATTGCCACTTGTAATTTTTGGCATTGGCATCTTCCACTCTGGTTGCATCTTGGAAGGAGATGCAGTAGGAGGTGAGTTGGGCTCAAACGTCCACCATATACCCTATTCTTTGAGCTTGTTAAGTCCATCTTCTGGTTCTGATATTGTGTGCATTTTTCCATTGCGCCAGAACAGAATTTTTGTGGGGAATTCCCATTGGTATAACACTTTGTGATTATGAAGGAATTTAGTTTTAGTGGAGAATTCACGTCTCCGAGCTATCGTGAGAGCGGAAAGATCAGCATACAAGGAGATCCCATAGTAAGGTGCGGGCAGCGTTGGATGCTTTTCTTGCTGCAGCAAGTAAGGCTTAGAATAGTAGAAGCAGACTATTGTATCTTGCAGTGTGTTTGCTGTAAAGTACCTTGGTCTCAGAGGCGATGGACTCTGTTAAATGTCCATGCCGACTCTTTTAGGTCTGGAACTAGGGCAGCATTTGTCAGAGGCACAATTTTTCACTGGTCCGTCATCAGCGAAAGGTCTGACTCTGGTGGGCCTGTGCTTGTGCCGGTGTTTCTTATTTTGCTGGAACTGATTGGTAAGTTTAATTTACCTCAATGGAGCCATGTTGAGTACCGTTGTCAGCAGATCGCGATCTCTCATGAAAGGTGCTTTTGGGAACAGATTAGGTGGTAGACCATCACTTTTGGCTTGAGGTGGAATGGAGATCTTTCCTTAGCCATTTCCCCTTTAGCATTATTTTAACATTTTATGTTTTTTACCAAATGTGCTCTATTTACTGAGCCTTAAGTTTTACATTTGCTACTATTATTACTCTTGTAGTATAATTTGTCTAACCATTTTCCTATGCTCTGCCCTTGGTGATTACCATCTCAGTAATATACCATCAAAACATTTTTTAAAAGAATATTACAGGGTCGGGAATACAAAAGTGGATTACTGAAGAAAGGTTAAAAAATGTAAATCTCTTTAGTTTGGAAAAACGGCGCCTGAGAGGGTATATGATAACATTATACAAATATATTCGGGGCCAGTACAAACCATTATCTGGAAATCTATGCATAAACAGGGCTATACATAGGACACGAGGTCACACATTTAGGCTTGAAGAAAGGAGATTTCATCTAAGGCAAAAAAAAAGTTTTTTTTTTACAGTAAGAGCGATAAGGATATGGAATTCTTTGCCTGAAGAGGTGGTTTTGTCAGAGTCTATATAGATGTTTAAACTGCAATTGGATAAATACTTACAAAAACATAACATACAGGGATATAATTTCTAATTAGTGGGGTAAGAGCTGCTTGATCCAAGGAGACATCTGACTGCTATTTTGGAGTCAAGAAGGAATTTTTTTCCTAGTTTGTTGCAAAATTGGAAGCGCTTCAGACTGGGTTTTTTGACTTCTTTTGGATCAACAGCAAAAACATATGTGAAGAAGGCTGAACTTGGACACAAGTCTCTTTTTTTAGCTAATAATTTATTGTGAATACAGTCAGATTACATTGTATCAGTCTATCAAAGACTTTCATCCAGATACTGCTCAGGTTTAATGAGCTTTAATACAAAAAACAAAATAAATGTTTTTGTAGGCAGTTCAAAAAGTAAAAAATAATAATAAAAATTGTGTGTAAATAGAGGTGTACTCCCCTATTACCTTTACATAGAATTTATAGAATACAACACAATATACACCCAAAGTGATTGTACACCAAATATACTTACAGGTGATACTCGAAAATAGAATATCGTGCAAAAGTTCATTTATTTCTGTAATGCAACGTAAAAGGGGAAACTAATATATGAGATAGAAGCATTACATGCAAAGCAAGATAGTTCAAGCCGTGATTTGTCATAAGTGCCATGAGTATTGCTTACAGCTCATGAAAACCCAAAATCCACAATCTCAGTGAATTAGAATATTATATGCAATCAATAAAACAAGGAGTGTACATAGAACAATATCGGACCTCTGAAGAGTATAATCATGCATATGGACTCAGTACTTGGTTTGGGCCCCTTTTGCAGCAATTGATGCCTCAATGGGACATGGCATGGAAGCTATCAGCCTGTGGCACTGCTGAGGTGTTATGGAAGACCAGGATGCTTCAATAGTGGCCTTCAGCTCTTCTGCATTGTTCGATCTCATGTCTCTCATCTTTCTCTTGGCAATGCCCCATAGATTCTTTATGGGGTTCAGGTCAGGCGAGTTTACTGGCCAATCAAGCACAGTAATCCCATGGTCATTGAACCAGGCTTTGGTGCTTTTGGCAGTGTGGGCAGGTGCCAAGTCCTGCTGGAAAATTAAGTCAGCATCCCCATAAAGCTTGTCTCTGGAAGGAAGCATGAAGTGCTCCAAAATCTCCTGGTAGACGGCTGCGTTGACCCTGGACTTAATGAAGCACAGTGTACAAACACCCGCAGATGACATGGCTCCCCAAATCGACACAGACTGTGGAAACTTCACACTGGGCTTCAAGCATCTTGCAGTGTGTCCCTCTCCATTCTTCTTTCAGACTCTGGGTCCTTGGTTTCCAAATGAGATGCAAAAGTTGCTCTCATCAGAAAAGAGGACTTTGGACCACTGAGCAACAGACCAGGTTTAGCCCAGGTAAGACGCTTCTGACGTTGTTTGTTGTTCAGTAGCGGCTTGACAAGAGGAATACGACATCTGAAGCCCATGTCCAGGATCCGTCTGTGTGTGGTGGCTCTTGATGCACTGACTCCATCCTCAGTCCACTCCTTGTGAAAGTCCTCAACACTTTTGATGGCCTTTTCCTGACAATCCTCTCCAGGCTGCGGTCATCCTGGCTGCTTGTGCACCTTTTTCTTCCACATAACTTTCTATTAATGTGCTTTGATACAGCATTTTGGGAACATCCAACTTCCGTTGCAATTACCTTTTTGAGGTTTTCCCTCCTTATGGAAGGTGTCAATGATGATTTTCTGCTCAACTGTCAGGTCAGCAGTCTTCTCCATGATTGTGATTCCTACTGAACCAGACTGAGAGACCATTTAAAGGCTCAGAATCCCTTTGCTGGTATGATGGCTTACTTAGCTAATTAGAGTGGGACACTGTGAGCCTAGAATATTGCACCTTTTCACAATATTCTAATTTACTGAGATTGTGGATTTGGGGTTTTCATGAGTTGTAAGCCTTAATCGTCGCACTTATGACAACTCACGGCTTGAACTATCTTGTTTTGCATGTAATGCATCTATCACATCTCGAGATTTGGTAGTATGCATCCCCCATGTCTATCGAGACCAGAAAATATTTCTTTCTTATGGTAGAATTGATGGAGCAGATTGACTCTATTCTGAAAGGCCGGACTTTGAATATGTCTCCATTTGCCATAGCTCTTTAGGACAAGAAACAGTGGAGAATAATGTCCCTGAAAGCGTTCTTCCAGAGGTATCTGTATGATGACTCTTTCTTTTAAGAGATTGTCCACATATTCCCTCAAACTTCTTCTTTTGAGCCTGTCTGTAGTTAATGCTAGAAAGCCATTTCTCATTAGCCTTCAAGTGAATTCCAGCCTGTAACCCTCCAGAACTATCAAAGTACCCATGTGCTAAAAAGGGATAGTGTGGCTTCAACTTGCAAATAGTCAGAACCCTTTCCCAAAGGAACAAAAGGGCTGGTTCCTGGCTCTATTAGAGAGTTGGGAAGAGCCTTGTCCACTTCGCCATTGGCTTCCATGATTACACTCTCTACCAGGTCGGTAGCTTTGTGAGTCACTGAAATATTGGTCTTTAGCAGGATACCTGGCTGACTAGGAGGTACCTGTTTTTTTGGCTCTTCTCTCTTGTGGCAAAAACACTTTGCTGCCTTCTGCTGCCTTCTTTATGGAATCGTCTAAGGTTTTGCCAAATAGAAGCTCTCCATTGAAGGGAATAGAGCATAATGCTTCCTCCAGGTACTCTGTGGCCATACGCAGGTTCCAAATTGTATCATTGAGATCTTGACACTTGATGCCTCTCTCCACATCTGAATCCAGTTGCTTCAACCAGCTTTTAATGGACCTGGACATAGCCGTTAGGGCTCCTGCTGGGTGACAACCTGCTCCTGCAGCTGTATAGATCTTGGATGAATCTGCATCCAATTTGTGGTCCATGGGTTCCCTCATTATCCTTCTAGCTGCTCTTGAGATAGCAGCACATCCTAGAAGTCTCCTCTTCCAATGAAAAGACTTGCTAGTTTACCTTGGAAGGGAAGAAGTTTCTCAGGTATTTTCCATTCAGATATCACTATCTCTGTAATGGATCTATGAAGTGGACTGGACAGCCTCTGTTTGTGCAGGTCAGTAAAATGTTTATCTGAACCCTCCACTCTATGTGTATATTCTATGTGTAGTAGATTACTGAAGTATAGGATTGAGAAATATATATTATACTAAAGTATAAAATATAAAAAATACATTAAAAGTAACAGATTTGTAGTCCATCAAAACTGTAACAGCACATTATGTACGAACAATCAGTTCTCCACCCAATCAACATGTTTTTAAAAAGGCAGGAACAAGCATTTTTCATTTAACACGTTAGGTGACAGTGTTCAATTCCAAAATCTAAAATGTTTCTTGCTGAAGCAATAACTTTGCTCTGGCACCCTCCCTTTTTGGAATTGGTATGTGGTCTATAGCTACACATCTCAAGGAGATTAAAGGGTGCCATTTATCCAAAACATGTCTGGCCCCTGGCTTCAGAATTGTCATCTCTAAAGACAATTCTGCAAGGGCATGTTAATTTATAGATGACAGTCGGTATGGCAGCTATTCCTGTGTTTGATATAGTAGGATTTTGCTGGTATCAGACTGCATGTGATACAATCCAAGCACCTAATACACCCCAGATTCTTCACCTCGTTCTGCGTTGGCTTGTAACAATGCATTGGATCTGTGTGTACTAATAAATCTCTCAATTTCTTATTCTTCCTATAGAAAAACATTGGCTTTTGTTGAATAGTTTCTGGAAGGAACCATTGATAATGTTCCAATTCTGTTCCACTGCTATTTGATTAATAAATTGCTAGCTGAGTGGAACTTTATAGGGAATACGAGTTTTGTTATGGTTACTTTAGATTTTAGTTCCCCTTGTTCATAGTATTTTTCTTCTGCTCTTGATAATACTTTATCCAGGATGGTTCATGTGTAACCGTTTTTAAAAATTTGTCGTACATCATATTTGATTAGCACACTGCTCCTTATGCAAATTATTCCGAAGACTCTCAGGTATTGTGATAGCAGTAATGAATCTTTCAAGTGCCTGGGATGGGCACACGTGTAGTGCAAAATTGTATTCCGTTCCGTGGGCTTCACAAAGAGTTGATATTCTAATTTATCAATCAACATGATTTCCAAATCAAGAAACTGTATACTCTTAGAATCAATTTTGGATGTAACATTCACTGGTGTGGGTAGCTTGTTAATTTGATTAACGGATAATTGTGCTTCACTTACTGTCCCTTGCCACAGTATAAGAATATTGTCTATGAAACAATATTTGAAGATATTCCATTCTTATGGTTGTATGATATATTTGTTCTCAAATTTGCACATGTAAGAATTAGCATACATGGGGGCCATGGCTGCTCACATAGATGTAAACGACGTCTTGAGATACCACTTAGTCTCGAACCAGAAATAATTACACTGTAAGGCTAATGAGAGTAAGTTAAGGACAAATTCAATTGCCAGACCTCGATAAAGTGTAGATGCAGACAGCAGTTTCCTCATGACTTTAATGCCATAATCTTTGGTTAGGATGGTGTATAAACCATTAATGTCAATAGTTACCAAAACCCCTTCAAATTCACCCACAGTTTTAAGATCCTCCAACAGACTGCTGGTATCCTTAATGCAAGTGAGGATGGCAGCCACTGGTTCTTTAAAAAGATAGCCCAGGAACTTTGCAATAGGTTCTAGGATGCCATCAATCTCCGAAACAATGGGGTGTCCTGGAAGGTTAGAAACGCTCTTGTGTATATTGGGTAATGTGTAAATAACAGGCGTAACATTCTTTTTTTGTAAATATTGGAATAAATTAATGTCAATGTATCCTGCCTTTAAGCCAAATGTAAGTGCTTCTTCAATCTTTTGAGACATTTTGAATGGTAGGGTCACCTTCGAGGTGCAGGTAAGTATTTGTATCCCTTAATTGCCAATACACTTCGCCAGGGTTGTCTGAGTAATTTAAAACCACTATGCCTCCTCCCTTTTTAGCTGGTCATATCACAATTGATGGATCTCTTGAAAGGCCACAGATGAGGAGACGTTGTTCCTTTGACAAATTAGAATGTTTGGTCATATATGTAGAAAGAATGCCGTTGGTTTCATGTTTGATTGTTGTGAGAAAGGAGCTTTGTTTGATTTGGAGGGGGGTCAAACTTGCTTGGGGGGTTGAATGATTGTAGACTAGTATGCTCTCTGGATGTATTTGTTGGTGTTTTAATTTTGTTAAAGTAATCTTTAAGCCTCAAAGTGTGGCCAAACATATACATCTCAACATTCCATTCAAAGTGATTTGGAGCCATAGTAGGGATGAAGGAGAGTCCTTTATGAAGTTTCTCAGTTTCTTTACTAGTGAGGGTTTTTTCAGACAAATTAAAGAGTGGAATAATTTCCAAAGGGGTGGTTTTTCTCTAGGTCCATTGGGTCTGTCCCGTTTGTCCCTGTCCTATTGTTGATCTTTTAATTTTTAGATTTTGCTTCTTGTGATAGCTGTCTGGGGTGATGCCACGTCGGATGGCCCTGCTGTGCCAAAGAAATAGACCAAATTAGATGCCCTCCCTCAGAGACTGATTCCCCTGATGTCACATCCACAATGGAGATGTTTGGTTTCACTATCTTTCTTCGTAATCCTCTGGGTCAAGTTTTATGTTCTCCAGAGAGCCATCTATAGATTGAATGCTCTTGATAATTTTGTTGAATCCTCTCCAATTTTTGCCTCTTGAATTTTATAAGTTGATTTTTATAATTGAGTGTTTCTTTTTTTTAAAATTGTAAATTCATGCCTTCTTGTGAATTTAGCATCACTGCATGTACTTTCCACCTGGTGGATTTTCTTGCGAATGTACAGGAGGTCCTCTTTAACATCTTGTATTGGAATCAAAATTAAATCCAACGAGCATTTATTTACTAACGTTCTTAAGTCAAAACATCCATTTTTATTAATTCCTCAATAATGTTTCAAATAATGTGACTTTAAAACTTTTTTTTGTAAAAGCATGCAAATAGCAGCAATAACAAATGCCCCAATAGATAGCCAAATCCCTTTCACTGTTGATTATTATAGTTCCACAGGGGGTGCATGTGACGAAATAGCCCCATCACTTTCGGTTCTTTCGTGGAAATGTATTCATGTTATTGCGAGTGCCTGGAACTAATTTCAGCCAAGCACTCCCGTGAACACCGGTCACCATGAACCTACCGCCCATTCAAGTTCCCTTTCACCTACACAAACGGCGTTTGTGAGATACGTACTACCGAACAACGGGAGCATTCTACACTAATCCGTTTTTGCATAGCTTATGTGGTTTTCATACAAAACCCCACGAACGGAGACCAGCTCTTGCCACAACTTCCCTGGGCATTGACCTCATCGCAGACCGGTCAAAACTTCCCCGTGATGGCGATCTAAAACTACCGAACAGATCTGGGTGATTTTTGGATATGTTGCTGTTAGATATTTTTGTCTATGAGAGATAATGTAATTATTAATGTGCATTCCGATAATTATGTCTCAGGCACAGAGGATCATGGAAGGGATTTCCCTGCATTTGTGTGAGAAACCCCATGTTGGGGTTTTTATTCAGGGGCCGTTTGTGGCCCTCAATAACACAGATTTCTCCCAGCATTAAGCCTTGGCTCATGTGTTGGGGGTTATGTGACACCAGCGACATTAACCTTTGGGATTATTAGCGTTATTTTATTGGGAAAAGGGCATCCGTGGCAGTGATATTTTGGCAGATCATGTCATGTCAAAACACCAAAATTATAAAATATCAAAGCTTCTGCACTCCTACTTCCAAAACAATAGCCTGGTGCTCAGTAATACTTCATGCATAGTTCAAATACATATACCAGCACTCCAGGACTTCCATAATTTTTTTATTTTATTGTTCAATCTCCAAATAGGTCGATGTTTCAGTTCCTAACAGGAACTTTCTGTGGCGAAAGCGCTGCTTGTCCATGAATTGCCTTTTTTCTTTTCAAGTATTCCCCCTGTATGTTCATGTGTTTTGCTTGCTCCCCTTTCGGGAGTGCTTCCACAAAGGGAATTAATTCGCCTCCTGAACGGGGACCACCCCGATACCTTATTTAGAATGTTAGTTTAGAACTTGCACACCTCGCAACATAGGTGTCAAACCACAAAGAGAAACAATTAATGAGTGCTCCCCTGGGTGGCCACCATTCGTACAATCGAATGCCAGCCAGGGGAAGCATTCGTGGATTGTTTCCCGAATCGTTCGTCTCCTGAACGAGGACTTCCCTGGCGCCCCTTAGAACGTTTACACCAATTAATCAGAATGTTCTCACTTGCAACATAAGTGTGAAACCGCAAGGGAAGTAATTAATGAGTGCTCCCCTGGGTGGCCACCATTTCGTATAGACGAACTCCGTCCAGGGGGAGCATTCATATCCCGAAATGAGATGCTTCCCTTGCAGATTTCACACAGGGACCTCGCAAGTGGGGACTGGTCAAAGAGGGTAGCTCTGTGAGGGTCCCGGAGATTGGTGGGGGCACTGGCAGGTTTGGTGGGCTTTTTGGTTCCTGCAGGGACAAAGAGACCAGCTCTTTTCCTGTGGACGTGCTTTTCTGTGCCTGGGAGACAAAGGGATGTTCCCTGTCTCCCGCGCCTGGACTCCCAGGGACTCCCTGGTGGATGGGGTGGGAAAATCTGTGCTTTGAGTGGCGCGTTTTAGGAACAAAGGGAACGGAATCCCTTCACACGCTAGGGCTCCAGGGAGGGGGAGGATCCAGGGATGTAACCTTGCGTGATTGTGTGGTTGTCCCCCTTACATGGGGAGAT